TGAGAACACTGCTGATTTCTGAGTTTTGCCGCTGGAATGTATGCCTTGCTGAGATTCCTGCATTCTGCCAAGTTTTCTAAGTCTCTGTGTGTGCTTGCTTGCTGGTTCGTGTGCCTGTCTGAGTGCTTGTCGGTCTGAGTGTGTGGGTCGCCCACCAGGGCAGTTGTTTGCCTGGGAGGCCCGCGGGGCTGGTACTTACCTGTGGCTGTGACTTTGAGGGTTGCAGTGGGGGAAAACGCTCAAGTGGCCGAAGGCTTAGCTTAGGGCACACTCAAGTAGCGTAGCGTTGGCACTGTAGGTACTTGAGTAGCGGTAGGTCGAGCAGATGAACACAAAGTTAGCATTTTCAGAGGTCCAATAGCGGTAGGCCTAGGGGTAGGCGGGTACCAATCCAAGTAGCCTGAGTCTAGGGCCTGTGCGGACGATATCAGAGCCTGCAATGATGTTTCCCTCCAAAAGGGAGGAGGTACCGTTCCTTGGAGGCCGCGTGGCCTGGAAGTAACCGCCCAAGAGGTAGGTAGGACGCTATATCTCCACGACCAGCGCTCCTCCTCATTTGCAGTATGCCAGTTTAAGCATCATGTTTTCTCAGAGCGCCGCTGGAGAGGGGAGCGCGAGCAGTACAGAAGAAGAAACTGGGCGCTTTGCCTGGCAGTGGCAAGCAGACCAGCCTGAGGAGGAGGAAGAAGGGGACGGAGGGGAAGAGTATTGGGGTACTGACCTGGTTATGGCGGACGAGGCTATGGCTATGGTGAACCCCTGGTTATGCCAAGCAGTAGAAGAGGGACTCGGACTTTGATTCTGGTTCAGCCATTCATCCTTCTTATTATTATTTATTGATTGAATAAGAGAGGTGCAATAACCCATGCAGCACGCCTCGTGGAATGTCTAAGGGTCTCGCCAGGCCACACTCAGACCCAGGCCAGAAGGGGAAAAGGACCCCTACGTAGATTCAGGGCCTGAGCGGGCAACAGTTGACCAAAGCCAACCGCCTGATGCCCAACAGTCAAAGTCAAAGTGGCCCCAGCCCAGGCTGCCGGTCAGACACACACACTTGTTTCTATGCAGGTACCAAGACAGCATCAGGACCAAGTGGAAGCCCGCAACTGTACACAATCCAGGCCCTCGGCTG